AAAAGGAATGATGTATTTTTACTATTTTAAATGACATTATTAAACTGATAATTACATAAGACTTGAGTGCAATCTTAAAGAATGCCCAATGTGAAATGCTAACTCAGGGAGGGCTGCAATTACCTATAGAAAATGGTCTACTGCCATGGAGACGTGTCAATGAAGACAGTTTAGAGAGAGGCTTGCTCCTTCCTACAGAGAAATTCAAAAAAGTTATTAAGCCACAAATACCTGGGAAGGTATTTATGTCTTCTTGGATCTTTTGTTTTTAACATATAAGCAAAATACAAAACTATTCATTAAAAAGTTAATAGAAAAATATTAACTAAAGGGCTGCTGCCTGGGTTGAAAATCAGGGGTTGCTCAAGTGAAGTTGGTAGATATACTTCTACAACTATATTTAAAAGACAATAATTATTCCTATTAAACTTTTTGGTGACTATCATTATTTCTTCTATTTCTGACCCATAAATCACACATGCATATTCTGTTCAAGTTTAGTGATGAACTTTTAAAGCACATTTACCATCTGTCAGTTCATTTTACACACCTAAGAAGTCCCTCTACATTTGCAAAATGAGGATCCTCTCTACTTAGTATTACAATCATCAACCACCAAACCAATGCATAGATGGGAAATCAAATCTATTTACATAAATGCAGATATTATATATAAATGTATGTCTTTATTGTATGCAACAAGAGGTTACCTACTGGTCTAGAAGTACAAAATTCTTTTATTTCCCAAAGGAACATCTAGACGACCTTTAAATAACTAAGCACCAAGGATTTAAGCAAATCATAGCATCCAAAAGCAGTTACAAGTTCCTTCAACTTGTATGATTCCATACCCACTACACAATTAAAAACTTAATGTTTCTTATTTTTATGTTATGAGGATAACAGACAATGGCCAAATATACAATCTTTGAAGATGTAAAAATGCATAAAGAGACCCAACAACTCAGTCTAAGCAGAAAAACAATCCTCCAAACAAGTAATGGAAATAACAGCCAGGTGACATGGAAGTGCTGAGCTGCCATGATGCTGGCAACATACAACAGTGACACTGGGGAACTCACTCTGGGTGGGAAGTTGAGTCCGGGGAAGTTTCCTGCAGAGACTGACAACAAAGCTGATGCTTAATGACCAAGTTAGGGATAAAATGAAGTGATCATTGCCATTTCAGTGATACTCGATCACTAGCTAAATATAATATTAATAACTTACAACTACCTACTCTGGACCTGATATCATTTTAATTAATATTAGGGCAAAAATATAGGATGCAGATCATGCCTAAAAGGGAACTTACAACCTGTTTTCGGAAAGTAACATGTTATATATACAAAACAGAATGTTAACAGCATAATAGCACAAGGTAAAGTGCAGATTACAACACACAGTGATTACATTCATTTGTTCATTCAACAAGTATTGTCTTTCTGGTATGAATCATATGCTGCTTTAGGCCCTAGGGAAATGAGTGTAGACAAACACATAAGGTCAGTGTCTTCATGGAGGTCATATTCTGATGAATAGTAATATGGGCACTAGAATGTATTAAATACGGGTTTTGAAAATATCATCATCATCACCATTAGTAATGCGCCAAATACTAATTCTCTGAAGCAAACAAAATAATACATATATTTGTTAGCCAAAAATGCTGTCAATAGAATTATTTAGCCAAACATTATAGTGATCGCTTTTCATTATCAAAATATTCTGGGTGGCAATTGATGACTACATTTTCACAAATCAACAAGTCATAAATTGTTGCTAGTGTGAAATACTTTGAGTAGATTTTTGCTCTTTTTTTATAAGACATGGTTTGACCCAATTTACTTGTACTTTCCACTAAAAAAAAAAAAAAAAGACATCTAACAAAGGCAAAACAGACTTTCTAAAGAGCCTCCCATATTCCTGAACATCATGTTTCAAATCTAAATATATATTTAAAAATGTATATTTGTGAACTTTTATGATATGGGTAAAAGAAAACAACAGTTCAAATAGCATAGGGTATGGAAAGATACTAATGAAATCATCTGTCTATCTATCAAAAAGTAGGAAAGAATCATAAGAAAGCAGCAAAGACCTAAAGGTCATTTGTATTTATTGCTAATAGCCCACAATCCAGTCACTCTTAGGCACTGGGTATGCTCTGCTAATAATTCTGAGAAGAACTCTATGATAGAAGAAAGGCAAACCGAGACATACAACTCTGGTATTTCATATAGCAAAATCTTGATTTTTGAGTACATTATTTATAGTGTACTTTCCCAGTGAATAAGTAATGATAATGTCATAACACCTCATATTGGTGGTTAAGTACAAAGTTACAGAAAGTTGATTTTTTAAATTAAATCCTTGACACCAAGAGATCTGTGATATAACAAATAATTCCAGCAATCACAGTAACTAACACATCTTTTGCCACCTTGTATACCTTCATTCTCATCTTGTTCCACTGCAAGACCAGAAAAATTGAGTAATTTGAGAGTCTAAGTGTAATTCTTATGAAGTGGCTCTTAGTGACAACCAGTTGTCTTGTGAAAGATATGTAAAAGAATCCAGTGATACAAACTTCAAAAAGTGTAAAAGATTAACATAAATTAGCATTAGCTGCATCTTTGTTGATAACACACATTTATTTTACATCAGAAACTTTCCTGATAGTGATACCATGACTTACTATGCTTTGCTTAATTTTTTTCTTCTTGAATAACTGATGACTTAACTGCACTTATGACAGCCTGAGTTTCTGCAGTGCACTGTTTCTTCCTATGACAACTACATGGAATCAGAATAGAAGTTGTTCAAGTTGCAGTATTAAGCATACCAAATGGTTACAGTAAAAAGATTTCCAAATGAATTATCAAAATAAACACATGAAATCAGAACCTGAAGAAAACTTCTAATTAAAGGAAACTTACAAGAACCTTTAACAAGTTCTCTGCTGAATGCACTTATTTCGTCTCTTGATCCTCCCTCTTTTGTCATTTGCATTAACAATGACAAAAGATATGCAAATTTAAACAGACAATGGTCAAGCCAAACTGCTCAGACACCAACAGGCACATTTTCAGTATATATTCACTTTGATTCATGCTAGCAAGGATCTGTGTAACCAAAGAATATTTTTATAAATATGCTTGGCTATAATCTGAAAACTATGCCACAGTCATTGACCAAGAACAACGCAAACAAGAATAAAATTTATTTCACACAAAAAATTAACATATGAAATGTGTATGACTTCAGCTCAACAAAATCATGCATATTTTGTTACTGCTGCATAACTGCATAGCAACACACAATTGTGTCATTTTGATTGCATGTTTTGAACAAACAAAATATCACGTTTAGTAGAAAAGTTTATTGCAAAATATGTGGGATTTAATTTCCTGCCCCATACCCTTCAAGGAATCTAGAATTTATAATGACTGAATTCTCACACACAAAAGATATTATATGGAAAGTATACTGAGAATAGTAACAATCAAATTCATCTATACTACAGAAGAAAGTTTCCCAAAGAAAACACAAATATCCTGCTTATAACTGCTGGGATTACAGTACCTGAAATGTAGGCACAATTATCAAATAACTGCAAAATTGTTTGCTTTTTATTTTTCTTCCTATTTATTGACTTTTTTCACCTGTAGTCTATAATGTAAGATTAACTACAGTTCCAGGTTTGGAAACTCTAAAACAACTGAATTTCAGTTAACTTGTCAAATGAAATAACAGTGTGCTTAGTTCAGTCCCTAGTGGACAAAAGCAGAATCACTATTCCTCGGCTGGACTCAGCGGGCTCTGACAGGAGGGGTGACCACACAGGAACAAAAAGAAGCATTTGTCCTTCCCCTATCTTTTATCTTCTGAAAAGGTTTGCTCTGTTAACAGACTAACTAAAAGAAAGCTGAACAGGCCGAGTTCCTATCTATAGAGACCAAGTGAATTTTTAGCAAACACCCCTGGGGAGAAGTTTTTCACAAATGGAGACATCACACCCTTCCACTGACACAGTTGTATAGAAGCAGCTGCTACTTACCTGTTACCCAATTAAATAGAGAGCAGGAAACTGCATTCATATTTTAATAGGCACAAAAATAAAACCTTTTAAATTATTTACACGTAAGTACCCAAATCAGCTGCTCAATTTTGTTTTCTATAATTTGGGGTTAAATGCATGTTCAACATGAACGCTCATCTGGATACTTAAAACTTCCACTTGGTACTGTCTGTGACTACAATTTCATGTGAAATGAGGCACTTCAGCAAAAGAGCAGCCTCTATGTATGCCGTGCTCAGCTCAAATCTGCAGGTGCACATTCTGAGGGCTGCCGCTATTCCCCCCTTCGGAGTAGTCGAACAATTTCTTCCTGATGGGTGACATTAAAATCGACCTTCTTGATTTTTTTTTCACAAGCACAGAAATCAGTCCTCTACTATTTACTAGTCACTGAATTTGTTTCCTTTATACACTAAATACAATTTCTCCAAATATTACACTTTACATCTATTCGCACTTTATGCTAACTTTACTAAAAGTTGAAAAGTACGTTTTTGGTGATGATTTCTGGCCCTAGACACAAGTTTCCTGGTGTAAAATCTCCTTGATCCTATTTTAGTATTGTCATTATTATTTCTTTTGTCAACAATTTGCTGGAGACAGATTTGCTTTTGTTCTGAATTGGGCTTTGATAGTCAGAAAACTCAAGTTCAGTTTTAAGTAACAGAAAACCACAAATGTTACAAATGCACCATTCCTAGGCACGCAAATGGGACAGCACCATACCTAACAGGCTTGCCCTAAACTAAAAGCTTGGCTCCCCCTGAAGTCACAGGGAGAGATCTGTCTAGCATTTGCAAACACTGCCCCCCGGAGCAAAAGGTAAACACACAAATGCTCCCCTACGGAATTGTAAGTTAGCTGCAAGGCAAGAACAGAAAAGGCTCCATGCAATTAGAAACTGAAAGCAATCACTTACTTTTTGCAGCCACTGAGTATAATTTTCCATCACATGCTCCAGATGTTGAAGTTTCTGGGAAGAGAAATCCTGTTCCACGTGCGGAGCATCTCTCTGCAGAGCGTTTGTGTTGTACTGGTCTGTCGCGCTCTCACGACAGTTCCCGTCGTGTTCTGGAAGAATGAAAGTGTAGGCACACTGCCCATGTTGAATCCGGTTATATCTTCTCCCACCGTTTTCTGGACTTCGGCGCTGGTTGCTGCACCCTATGTGAGTCAGAATGGCAGCGAAGAAAGCAAAGGAAAGGAACACTGTCATTGTACTGCCAGCACTTTCTTTCTGAGCCTCTCTTAAAACTTGCTCCTTTTCGTCTGACCTTTAAACTAGTTCTTTATTTCAGGTAAAACTGCTTGTTTGTTTGACTTTTCCCCTCAAAGAATGTTTCTGAAGAAGATTCATAGAAAACTAGTCATTTCTTAGCTTCGCTCTAAAATGTTGTATTTTTTTTATTTCACTGTAATGATAGTTTCCTTAGTTAAAACTTGAGATATTTATTGCATAGTAGCTGAGATTTATTGTTTCCTCTCTGTGTAACCGGTCGGCGTTGAGCCTGCCTGAGTCAGCTGCGTGCACATATTCTAGCCCCTTTCCTCTACCCTATCTGCAGCAGATCTGCTATTTTCTCCCAGACCTCAGTGAGTTTTATTAAGGTTGCACATCCAAGCCAAGCTGGAAGCAGGCAGCCTTTCACAAGATGACTTGACAGGAATGCATGAGTGTGCCCCTATGCTAAGGATTGCTGATGGCTTGAAGCAGCGGATCGTCTTACAAATTGGCTAGATGCGCATGACCTCGATCATGTATGGCCGCCCGCCCCTTCCGCAGACAATTGCCTCCAGCCGTTAGCAGATTCACAGCAAATCAATAAATACAGCAGTCCACCTTAATACACTTTTTGGTGTACTTGCTGACCTACTAAAATCTAGCAAACTAGCAGGATGTTTTTAAAGTTACGATTTAATGGGGGAATCTGACTAAAAATTGGCATAGTGTCCTGTGTAATCTATCTGATAGTGAGTGACAATCTATAATTATTAATCTTTGAAAAATTAATCTTGACTCTGGGGGAAAAGATATTAAAGGTGATATTTTCTGAGAGAATATTCTTTCACTGTGTTCACCTAAACATTTAGAAGGTAAAGGAAAATATCAGAGAAGATCAATTATTAAGGTCATTTCAGACTCTGCCAGTGAGAGGAACACAGACTATAAATGAAGTAGGGGAACCCAAGTACATTCAGGTACTGGATTTGAATGAGACAGGTTCCCTGATTAGAATGCAGCCCTGTGAGTTCTGTGTGTCAAAGTAAGCAACTTACTTACAAAAAACAGTGAAGTTATGATATAAGACAGTGACCTGAGAATTAATAATCCCTGTGAGAATCAGTAATTCCTGTGGTGCATACGAGTAATTTATTTCACAATGACCTCCTTGGTGTTGCTGTGGCAATCTTTCATAGAGTATGGCAGCTACATGTAAGTCTTCCTGTGACTGCACAGAAAAACTCTCTGAGAACAAATATGTATCAGAAGTGTCTGCAAAGACTAACTAGAGAAACACTGTGCTCTTGTTAAGAAACAAAAGTTATCAGAATATGATATTCCAGATGTAAGGCATAATATAGTAATAAAAGGATCAGTGAATCAAAAAGCACAGGTGGCAATTACAGAACTGAGGATACATGCAGAGATCTTTTTACTAAGAGGGTGCAGAAAACCTGAATTATGAGTAGGGGCTTTTATCAGAAACTGGGAGGGATTTCAGGGAATGGCACTTTCCACTGCAGTCATGGTGTCAACACAGTAGCAACAGATGTCTCTCATGTCCTGCAACAGGGGGTAGGACAGTGGGCGAAGGACAGTGGAGGTTAAAATTGGCCTGTAGGAAGAACTTAGAAGACATGACAAAACAAATTCCAGAAAAAAATGGTATTTACTTGAGGGGGTGGGGATTGTGCCAAGACTCATCAGTCCTTTCCATACCACAGAGCAAATGTGTAATCTGACAGCTGTGGAAAGAAGTAAAATGAAATAGCAAAGAAAATTCTGCACCTTCTAGACCGCCTCCTCCTGAGGCTGCAGCCCTGTTTGCTGCTCTGCCGCTCTGGTGCAATAACAACAATGGCTTTCAAGAACATACTGTTTTCCAGGTTGGTGTTAAAAACTCCTTGCACATAGTATCGCCTGATCTCCCCAGCAAACTTAAGACATGAATTATGTCTAATCCTATTTTGCCAATGGGAAAACTGAGTCACAGGAAGGCTCACAGCTCACAGAGCTAGCAGGTGCTTATGAAAATATGTCAGCTGTGACAAAAGGGCTCTGAGCTGCTGCTTCCAACCTACAAGGCTTCCAAAAGTACTCGAGCTACCTGATTCACAGGTGATGAGTAGGAGCCAGTTTAAAACTCCAAAGTGACTTAGACCTTTTTTTCTGTACCTTTCAAACCAAAATAACAGCTATAGCATGCCATAGAATTTTTGAGGTCCACAAGGATGAATTGGACAGGCAAAGCACAGATTGTCTGGGAAGATTTTCCAACATTTCTAGCTTTGAAAAGTATCCCTGGAAAGAAGAGGGCCCAAAACCAACACCTATAAGTGCTTCATTATTAAGTAAATACAGCTGAAAACCAGCAGAAGGCAAACGGGTGAGTAGCAAGGTCTCTAGTAAAGTGTTCCCATGTTTTTAACTAGTGTAGTGTCAAAAATGTGTGTGTGTCTATGTGTTTATCATGTAAACTTTCTTTTTTGAATAAATTAAAAGAATGCACGGTTGCTTGAGGTACAATTAGACAGGGAAGCTTGGAAAGCAAGTAAAAAGGGGAGCTAGTTAGATAAAGAAAGAAAGAAGAGAGACTTTTTTTTTTTTTTTTTTCAGGAAAACAGAGAAAGAAAGAAACAACACTAAAAGCCACATCAGACGAAGTACTGGTGCCCATCTGGAAAAAAAAAGTCTCAAGATCAATTTTAATTAAGTGGAAAACAAAGAGATGTGCAAAATCTACTCATGTGTTCTGATCTCTTACTAAGGACAAATCGGGTACATTTGTGGATCCCAATGATATACTAGAGTCATCTGCTTCAGGGACTTGAATCTAACCACAGCAAAGTGTTGTTTTAGTAGTGCTGATTAATCTGAAAGGGTACAGAGTTAAGGAAACTTTAGAATTTAAAAGAACAAGCCATATTTAAAAGAAAATGTATCAATGTATCATACTTCAAAAAAAAAGGTTCTAAAGAAATAAATTTTCTACTAAATAAATACAGAAGTAACTTGATCTTGAATGTATCATGCTTTGTATTTTTTTGCATTATGAGGTCTGGAATTAGGAGATGTACACTTTAAGATTTTGGTCTCACACCCACATTAGTCCTAGTAAATAGCCCTAGTAAGATGTTAGGGTTATGCTGACATTTCCAGTAGGATAGAGAACATGATTTATAGGGCAACCTGATGGCCTTAAATCTATTGTAAGGACCAGTATTTCTTCTTATTTTTAATATCTCCAGGCCCAGTAAATAGTCCACTGTGGCATATTTCATTAACTTTCTCTTCATATCTCCTTACTTTGTGTACAGCTTTCTATTCATTTATTTGGCCAATCTCTTCTTCTAGCTGTGTGCTTGAAAAATGATCTTCTCTCTCTTTCATCATTGATTCTCTGGCACTTAACTGTTGGTGGAATTAAAGAATAATGAATAAGTGAATGAACTAATTAATTACTTAGTGTCTAACTACGATGTGACTAGTCTCATATGCTGCATTTGAGTTTACTTAGCATAGGGAGGAAGACAAACTTTATGTAGTGAATGAATTAGACACAAGAACATGGTACAAAAATTCACGTTTTTTAACATGTAGTAAATACATTTCCTTGGTTAATGTTTATATGACCCCTATAATTCTGCATTATTATTCCCATTTTATGGATGAGAAAATCAGGGGATGTAGAGGTTAACTGCCCAAACTCCATTTAATTCTCCAGTACTACCCAGCCTTAGCAAACAGAAACTATTTGTTAAGTTGAGGGAATAGGAACAACACAGCATCTATAACAATACAGCATCTGTAAGATGGGTGTCCTCTTTCTACTCCCATGCAGGGCCTTTATGGATTTACTTTATAATCTTTCAAAACAGAGCTAATATTAAATGGTTTTCTCATCTAGTAACCAAAATCCAATCTGATAGTTCAGATTACACTTTGGTTCTATTCTGAATGGTTAGTCCTAGGCCATATCACCTTGTTATAAATCTTATCACCTTGTTATACAGACTATCATGCATGCTCTAAAATACAATTATACAATATGAAAGATTACATTTCTCAAAAGCATGGGCTGGCTACTACTGGATGGGTAACTATGACCTATTTGTTATCTACAAATCACAACAGAGAATTCCTTGACTATCTCTGGAGTATATAGCCCGCATCACAAGGCAGGTCCAGAGCCACCTACGCCACTGCTGATCTGATTACAAGACTATCTCCATGGTGGTCTCTGGAAAACTGCCCATGTTGACGCAAATGTCTCTTGATGTATGGTCACGATGTACTCTTTTCTGTTCCTTGTAAAACTTTGCCCCCTAATCCTATGCCACCCTCCTGATCTTCATTCCTCTTTATACCATTATTGCATGATCAGCTTTTACTATCCTGGGTGCTTTCAGTAAGTGACATAGAACTTCTCTAGTAGCAGTTTTGCTTTGAAAACCTGCACAACTGCTGTGTCCCTTATCATGCCCCCCCCAACCCCCAAAGTGGCAAAGAGTTCCTGTCGAAAGCATATCAGGCACTCCTCTGGTAATCGTAAGACTGTGTATTTAGGAGGAAAAGAGATGGGAAAGTATTCTCCTTTCTTGTGTACTGAACACAATGTCATTCAGCACTGAGATCAATAAAATCTTAGGATATATTCCACACTCCTAAGGAAAAATGTTCTATGGCTCTGATTCTTACAGATCAGATTATCAGTAGGGATATGGCAGTGGCAGGTGGTTAAAAGGAAGGCCCTTGGCTGTGATCCCTTAAGGCAGTGCCAAGCCCCCTTCACTCAACTATGTAGGCAGAAAAGGTTCCACAACAGACACAAACACTATAGGGAGCTGAACGTGAAAAACAAGAAGATGGAAGTTATCACCTGCTGCCTGACAGCACCTCCGAGTACATGTGAACTGTCCACTGGGAATTCCCAGACTAACTGGCATTACTTTGCAAAGAGCTGGGAATATTGCAGTGGGTAGATGCAAGGAAGGGAGGCCTTTTTGCAGGTGAGAAATATATGCTCTGTGTTTTGATGCGATAAATTACTGATATTAACATTTTTTACTATCTCTACTTTTTTTTTTTTAAGATTGATTTACTTATGCATACAGAACTGGGGTACAAGCCAGAGGTGCAGGGTCGGTGAGAGGATCCAGAGATAGAGTTGAGAGCAGAGCAGGGAGATCGATGAAGTACCCTACTGAGGTGAGCAGCGGGCAGGTCAGAAGAGGTCTGCTGCACCATGTGGGCCACCTCCACAGTGGGGGATCAAACTTGCACTGAAGCAGCTGTGGCTTGCTTGCAGTACTGAGTCCTTACCAACCGTGCCACCAGGGAGGGCCTCTCTCTGCTTTTAATTGTAGCTACACAAGTTGGAAGTTAGTGAGAAAGAATTGCTTTGTTCTAAGAAAGGACAGAATGAAGTAAAGAATACATGGAAAAAATACAGAAATCAGGGCTTAGAACTAGAGAAGTTTAAAGAGAAAGGAAACTAGAGGCTATGTGACTGTAAAAATCTTGCGAAGATATATCAAGTATGGAGGTTTGGAGTGAAATGGTGTTTCCTTCTAGGTAAATTCTCTCTTAGTTCTTCTGCTAAAATAAATGCTTTGGGGCAAGTGACTTCTTTAGGGTGAATGGGAAGAGTTGTTAGTCCTTGTTCCATTCATAGGAATGACTAACATCTGGGTTACTCAGACTATAAATGGGAATACAGTTAAAGTCAGTAATTTCATGTTGGTCTTTAAAACTGGATTAGAATTTCTTTAGAGCTGGGACTGTGTCTGCATTATAGGGAACTCTATCCACATTTCCTGTCACAAAGGATGCAACTGAAAAATATTGTGATTCAGTTGACCATCTGGCTGATCCATCAATTCTCTCATGAGATCTAAAGACATAGAAGTTATTACCTCTCTCCCTCTTTGGAGATGTTTATGTGCTAATTTTTCCTAGTCTCCAAAATGGACTTTCTGGAGAGTTACTTAAGAGACCTGGCATCCACTGGCTCCAAAGCACATCCCAGGAGTGATATTAAAATAGTACTTAACACTTCCTGTCACCTATGGTCATTGTTATGGTTGAAGAACCATTCAAGAACATCTCTGAAATACTTTCTAGTGTAAGATTACTTGTTAAAAACCCAAAAAAGTGTCCAGGTAAGAATATTAAGGACAGTTGAAACAGTACCAAGTAGAAACAGAGATGCCAACATTTACCTATATGAGAATAGAGAAAGATTTTTATTGGGGACTCAGTGAAATGAGATTTTATTAGAGGGAAAAGCATAGAAACTATTTTGCCTTTACTGTCCCCTTATTTCTTCTTCTCTCTTCAGAGTGTTTATTATTAAATAAGGAAAAAAGTTTCGTCTCAACATCCCCAACTTCAGACAGAACATGTATTTTACATGTTTTCAGAACAACTTGTATTTAAAAGGATTGATTTGAATACCATTAGATGAATCATGCTACCAAGTGGGATTTGGATAGTAACTAATCCTTGTAGCCAAAGCTGATAAATACTCTCCACTGAGCAGTAATTAAAAAATATAAAACTTTTTGTAATTTTTGTTTCTTTCAAGAGTTATCACAAACTTGGCTCTTCAGTGGAAAAAAAAAGATCACCCAAAAATATTACAAATGCAGATATAAAATATTATGTAAACAAGGTCCTGAATTTTTCTAAAATTGTCCATTCTTCTTCTTTTAGTCTTACAGTCATACTTTCTGTTAATCTATCTCTCTCTTTTTTTTGCTGCCAGATGGATGAATTGTTCCATCATGGTTAAATAGGAGACAGATTGCTTTATTTCTGATTTTGTTTATTTCTTGTTTGCTACTACATGTTGGATTTCACTGAACAAGACAATTATTCTTAGCTCAGTTTGCTTATTGTGAATGATAATATAGTGCTATTTTTGAAAAAAAAAAGGATGTAAAAATTAGATAATGGATAGAAAATAATGAGCAATGTACAATGCACATAAAATGTTCTCACTGACAGTCACTAGTTTCTAAATGTGAATTCTCATTCTGGTACTCAAAAATACTCCTGTTTTAAAATTTTTAAATTGAATTTTAGGACTATGTTTACCTATTTCTATTTCCTATCACTTTTTCTCTTGTTTAAAATAACTCTGGAACCTCTGAAAATTCAGAATATTTAAGTAACAAATTTTAATATGTGTAGGTGACCCAATTCACAGTGACAGCTCCCATAAACAGCTCTATTTTGCTACAGCACATCCACCTCAGTGTTTGACTTCACTACTGCAACAGCAGTATCTGACATATTATAGGTGTTCAATAAATATCTGTTAAATGAATGTCAGAAGTTGGAAACAATTTAGCAAAAAAACACTATTCTGGGACTGGGAACACCAAGAATCTAGTAGGGCATACCAACATACAAACCAGTAACATGAATAGTGGGGTAAGCTTCTACTCTCGGGAAACCACAGGGGTATTGTGGATGCCATTTATGGCATTGAAGCCATGACTTGTATCCAACTCATTTCCAGCCAATACAACTAGATGACCTAATTTTTAAGAGCTTCATTTATGAATAGACTTGTGGCATATATCACCCCATTCTGCTTCCTGGGATGGGGAGATAAAGGAGCAAGTGTTTGCCTCTGATAGGATGAAAAAGAACTGAAACATTCTACTATTATCTTCTAAGAAATATGCAGCTTGGCATAACTTGCACATAAGCAAAGGAAACATTATTTTACTATTTCTTTTCTACAAAGCTAATTTCATTCCTCTTCAGGCTCTAATTGGATTAGGAATTCGGTGATTAAGTTAGAAAATAAATTCCAGTGATATATAAAACATGTGAAAATATTATGCTGTTAATCAGGCTTTTAGTTCATAAATTGACTGGCAGAGACTGGCCCTTTGAATATAGTCTTAAATGAAGCAAAAATTGAAAACGTACTCTTCCTATTTCACTGAATATGTGCCTTGCATGTTCCTTTTTATCATTCTCTAAAAGTAATAAAAATATTTAAAGGGGAAACCTGTGTTCTAAAAAGGTTTTGACAAAATACAGCCATAAACTGAAAAAAAATTTTAAATTGTCATAGCTATGTTATCTCTATAGTAAAATGTTCCTTCTACTTGTAATAGAAGATAGATCCTGTTTAGCTAGGGGGGGAACCAAACAGCCTGTAAATTATGCAAAATGTTTCTCAATTCATCTCACATTGACCTCCACTGCATTCACCAAAACTGTATGTCTGTTCCTTGGACTACTGCTTACCTAATAGCTCCATTACTCAAGTTTTAGGCTTTCTACACAACTTAGATTTACTGTAAACAATAGTTCCTGAAAACCCAAGGAAAACTTCCTTTTTTCCTAATGGCTATCAAAATAAATACAGAATATTAAAGTATTTGTCCATGTGGCACCCATCAGAAGATTAGTGTCCCCTGTGGAATGCGCTTTGGGAAACGCAGCTTAGTGCTATCAAGAATAGTCTCATCCTCTCTCTCAAAATGAATGAAACAGTACCTCATCTCAATATATCTCTGTAAAGGACATTGTAACTGCACACCCTGAAGAACAGTCTGTGCCACGTACAGAATGATTGGGGGATGTTCCCATTCTGTAGTCAAACCTGAAAAACAACAGAAAAAAACTTTTGAAAACAAAGGCTTCTGCATTTATGCTGCCCGGGGTGTGTGAAGAACTTTCCTGGGATCAACCAGGAAGTCACAGAGAGCAGTAACAGTAGACCTATTTGTAATGCTGTCCACCGACAGAAATGCCCAACTGAAAGTTTGAAATTAAAACTAATGATTGACCAGGAGCTTCAACTGCTCTTCTCTTGATTCTGGCAGTGGAAAGAATAGAGAAGGTATTTAGTATGTGAAGAGTAAATCTTCACTCCATTGTAGTCTTTCATTTCAAAGAGTGCTGGGGAAATGGTAAACAAATTTATTTTCAGAGGTTGTATTCCTCTCGGAAAATTTACATTCCTTCCTGACATCCCTGAGTCATAAAAATACATCAGTTCAAAAAAGGGAAAGTTAATATTTAAAGGAGAAGTTAGGCATCAGTTACCTACAGTTTAATAACAACATTCATGGAGTACCTATGATATGTCTGAGACTGTGCTAATAACTGTATCTACAGCATCTGTTCTGTTATAAACATCACACTAACCTAGTATGCAGGAACAAATTACTATCAGCCTAGAGTGAAAAACAGAGAAGTTTCAGGCAGGATCAAATTCAGAATTTTTCAACCTCCAAAGATGAAGCTTTAAACCATTACGCATCTACAAACCATTAGTCAATCAGTCCTTTGAAAGTATCTGCTCATTTGAATTCTTAAATTATCTTTTAGATTTTAGTATATATATATATGTATGTGTGTGTGTATATATATATATATATATATATATATATATATATATATATATGTATGTATGTATTTGTTAAACCAATAAAAAACATAGAACTTAATAAGTCACTTAGGCCAAATGAAATTTTATGAATTGAAAATAAAAGAAATATATATATGTGTGTGTGTGTGTGTGTGAAATGGATATGATATATTTGTTTCAAGGGTTAACTCTGTCAATACATGTGAAATGGTGTATGCTGTATGCCTCAGATGTAAGGTCAGCTTGTAAGCGTATTAATAGGTTAAAGTAGAAAAAATCACCCAGTCATATCAATTTATATAGAAAAGGTAATATCTTAGAAAAGGTGATATCTTTGTGTTTCATCTCTACTCATTCATCCATTAATTCAACAAACATTTGTTGAGTCAATATCATGTGACAGACCTTGCTCTCATGTTGGGGGACAGTAGTGAGAAAAACGGAAACACTTTTTTGACACCACACAGCTTACATTCTCATCATATCTGTGGGAA